CGGCCACCCTCCGCACGGATCCGGTCTGTGCAGGTGCGGAATGTGCCGAGATCGAGCACCCTCCGTACGGATCTCCGCACGGATCCGGTATGTGCGGGTGCGGTTCGTGCGGTTGCAAGTATGATTAAAGGGTATAGCCAAGGAACAAAATTGAGTATTTATCGTGATGATTCCGATAGATTTGCCAACGATTCAGAATAGATGATGTTAAAGTGAAACTAAGACCAAACTAAGATTGTAATTGAGGAGATTGAACTTACCTTGAAAAAAACTGCGAATATAACCCCGATTGTAAAGATTGAACTTACCCTGGGAAATAGCTGCGAGTATAACCCCGATCGTAATTATCGAATTGCCATAGAATTTAACAGCAATAGCGATTACCCTAACCAGAGATATCGGACAAGAACAGTAGTTATACATCCATACGAAAACACAAGGTCAACTCATCGGAGCAAAACGTCGTCGAAGTCCCTTTCGGATGCCCGCACTTGAATGATCTTCCTCCTCCCACTCCACGTGAGAACGCTTTCCTCCCTTCCGCCGACTCCCAACCAACCGCCTCAACACTTCGCAGGAACAGAGAAACAAGGCCTCAACTATGGCCAATGTCTCATGGAGATCGCCCTTCTTCCAGTGACAGTCTCCCCTTCGTCAGCGTGCCGACTGCGACACCACTTGGACAAAGCGCAGAACCGAAGACAACTTTCCTAATTGGCCAAGCTGGAAGAGCACCCAAGTGAAGGCTTACACGTTGATGGCCATTCAAGATACACTCCACGCGCTAAGCGATAGCATCCCCAACCACCATCACCCTTGTGCTTGCGTAAGATCACCCGAAACCGCACCAGCATACATGAAGACGATGAAGCACCGCGGGTGTGCGACGAGAACCGCATCAACAGACATGAAAACGACAAAGCACCACGGGCGCGCGACGGACCGGGCCGATGGCAGGGCGGCAAGCGCGGCGCTCCCGGTCGCGCCGCGCCTCCAGGCGCCCACCAGACGGTCAAGTACGTTGTTCCCTTACCTTATCTTCCCTTTCGATCTCTTCTAACCTTAAGGAAGTGAGTCCAACTTGAGTGTCCTCTTTTGGTTAAGGTGTCGTGAGCGCTCTACCTTGAGAGTCGACATTCTTCCTGGTGGTGCATCTGGCAGGAGAGGGTAGTGCCTCTAAAGGGCCCTGGTCGAAGCACAGATCATGGTCACCATGCCAACCCATGAGACTAATACACGCAGGCCACGTTACTTTGTCCTTTGAGCTCTTTGTTGTGCCAATAGAGGGAACGTGGACTGACCAGTCCTATACAAGACGCTTACCAGACCATCTATTTCTGGTAGGGATTTGCTTTGAATACTGGTTGTGATCGTCGTCCTGTTTGCGACGTTAAATAATTCCTAAGGACCTCGGGGGCAGTCCTTAAACTGCCTCTTGATCAGCCAGATCAGTCGGATGGAAACGCGAGGATAAACAAAGGGTAGTGTTGGTCGTAAGTGAGTTCCTGGCCATAGGGGTGGGTCGTCAATGCACACCTTACATATTGTTGCTTGATGATGCGGATAGGCACGTTGGATACAGGGGAAGGAAGGTTCCAATTGGTGCTTAGCTACAATCACAATTATTTTCATTGCGCATACATTTGTGCACATGATTTATTTTTATTTTGATTAGCTGGTGGACAGCTGTGTGCCACAACGAATGTGTTCACGCCCCTCCGTGTTCGCACGAATAACTCACAAACGTATTCGGGCGAACATTTTTTTTCGTAAAAAAAAATAAAATTAATGTTTTTTTTTTCGGTTTGTGATTTTTAACTCACGTTTGGCTAAGAAATTGAACATGACTCCAAGGCAAAAGTTGTTTGTATTGTTGCTTTACATGACATACATTTTGATATTTTTCCAGATTTTTTTGATTTATTATTATTATTATTATTTATATTTTTGTGTTCGGAGTGTTTTGGTCGCTAGTTTGTGTTCAGGCGAACATGTTCAGGTTCGCCTCCGAACATGAACACTATGCTACGCAGGTGGACGGACTGCTAACACCTAATAGACAACCTAGATTAAAACTGTCATGTTCTACCATTGCCAGTTTTATTCGATGTTGCTGTGAGTGAAACTGATCGAAGTAGGATTAGCCATGTATTCAGTCTGCGTATGTGTTGTTGATACCACTTGAACGGTAGCCTAGCTGACTTGTCGGATATTCATTTATTTTTATTTATTTTTCAACCCGGTCAGCCACCTGTTGTGGTAGGCCCCGGTGAGAGCACTAGTGCAGACAGCGTCTACCTAGCTGATGAGCGGACCACGCAGCGGTGAGGATAGATCTATAGAAAAAAGGGTGACACGTCAGGAGTCCCTTGGGATCCCAATCGTGCACCAAGCTTTACCACCTGAGGGAGAGAGGGCTATACGACGGGAAGTAGTAGCTGAACGTTTGCAGAGGGCTAGAGAAGTGGTCGCAGCAGCCGAGCAATTGCTTGCAGCGACAATAGCCACTGCATCAACTATGGCTACTTCCGCTGTTTCCTCTAGTCAGCAGACGTTTGGCATGCCGACCAGTTCGCAGTCCACGTCCAGCGGGATGGCATCAAGCAGTTTTTCTAGTCATATGGCGAGCTCGCAGTACAACTCGCCACCTCCACACATAAGAGAGGCCACTGAACTCCAGCAAGTGGAGTTGATCTGCTTACGGTTAGAGAAGGAACTTAGAGAAGTCACCGAAAGAGAAACAAAGATTAGAAATAGGAAAGTCAGACTAGAGAATAGGAGGGCAGACAAAGTTGTTGTAGAAGGGTTAGATGATAATGTCCTTGATGATACAAGTAAAATCCTCAAGGCGGGTCTATTGTCCATGCATGCTTACATGGACAGCAAGCTAGATGCTGTCCAGAATACTCTTGACCAGATATAAAGTGTCATGCAGGGGATGGGAAGGGCTTTCACATCTCCAACAGGCGGGTCCGTTTTTTGGCCCCCAACTTTTCTATCACCGATCTCCTCACCGGCTATGGCAGTTCCCTTTGTGTCTCAGTTTAGCATTCACCAAGCAGTACTTCAGCAGCAGCAGCACAGATTGTTGCTTCTTAATCTTCACGTCCAGCGGTTGCCGCTTTACAGCAGTCGGTCCCGCCAATGGGACAACAACAACCTTGGTATCCTAAAACTCCACTGAAACCACCCTCAACCTTCTCGGGTGATAGGAAGGATGAGGCTCTCGACACTTTGTTGAGAACGGTGCCAGTGTGGGTGAGGGCGAAGAGGATGCTGCTCGAGGAAGAGGTGATCACTGTCGCTTCGTATCTTGAGGGATCGGCAACCCGATTGCTAGATGGATTGGTAGCCTCAAAAGGGTTCGGCAGGCGCATGAACGATTGGGTTGAAACCCATACTTTAGAAAGCTTCATGAAGTTGGTAGAGACGCGATGACACAACCCTCAGCAGTCCCAACAAGCCACTAGTACGTTGTCCCGGCTTGATACTAAAAAGTATAATTCCACGCGAGAACTTACCCCTGTCGTGGAACGCCTTATTGTCGTCCCTGGTGTATGCTAGGATCCGCAGGTTTTGATAACTTGTTCTTGAGATGTCTTCCCACAAACGTCAAGAACTTGCTGGTCAGCGAGACGGGCATCGAATAACATACTATGGACTCCTTTAGCAAGAAGGCTCTAGACTTAGAGGCTGGGCTAGGAGGAGCCCAACAACCCTCTACGGATGGAAGAAAGAAAAAGAGTCCACAAAAGTGGAAAAAGAAAGGTAGTCGATCATGGTTGATTCCGATGGGAATCACACCGAGATCAATGATTATTTTGACCAAGTGGACGAGACGGAGTTTGGAAGTGAGGATAGTGTTGAGGGTAGCAACCTCGCTTCAATAGTAAAAGTTAAGGCAGGTGGTTGTGCAAAGGTGGACAACAAAAGAGTCCGGGCCAAACCCAAAACTCAAACAACATTCCAGTTTGGGTGAGGGCGGGTCTGGATCAAGATGTGTGGCGAGACCGCTATTTGCAAGGAGCTTGCATAAACTGCGGCGAGAGACCATCGGCAGTTTAGATACATGAACGCGAAGGTATCGCAAAAGATACCTCCCAAAGGTGGTTTTGATAATTCTTCTTCCCAAGGTGGGCCTTCCACGAACTTCAACTCGGGAAACACATTGGGCCAGTAGAAGTTGTAGCTGCTTTTACTCGTGATGAAGTGGAAGATGTCCACCCTCCCCACTTCAAGAGTTGGCCGAAGCTATTAACTCTTTCGTCATCTCGCAGATGCATCCTGACCCACCTATACTTCGTTCGTTGTATGCTTCTGAGGCCTTAGAGGACCTAGAAAGTGAGTGGTCGGTAAGGGACCCTCGTAAGTTATGGGTGACACTAAGTAGTGGTCCTAGAGGGGAGCATTTCATAGTGGAAGTTGGTGTAGGTGGCCACAAGTGTGGTGCCTTCGTAGACATCTGCTCCACACGGAACTTCATAAGTCGTGACTGCGTTGAGAGGCTGCGCCTAAAGGACCAGGTGCAGTGCCTAAGTAGACTTGTAGCATCTACTATGGCCAACAAAGAGCACATGTTGGTAGAGGACTATGTCAGGGACATGGTATGCACCTTCTCTTATGGGGGTGGGGAACTTAATTATAAGATTTTGTTAGACTGGGACAAGAAAGTGCTAAAGCATGAGTTGCCTAATGGGAGAACCGTTAGACTATCTAAGTACAAGGCTAGAAGGTTAGTTGACTCCTATGGGTGAGGGTATGTACTTAGTGTTTGTCTCTGAGAACGGGGAGGCCGTTAAAACACCCCCAGAGATAGAAATCGTCATCAGTAAGTACACCGATCTATTTTAGGAGACTTTAGGAGTTGTGGATAGGGAGGTTGTCCATGCCATAGAGATAATCCCGGGTAACAAGATACCCAAAGGACGAATCTATAGGATGGCACTAACCGAGTTAAAGGAACTTTGGCGGCAACTGAAATAGCTTACAGAAAAGGGTTGGATACAGTCTTGCATCTCCCCCTTTGGCTCACCCGTTTAATTTGTCCCGAAGAAGGAACGATCATTGAGCATGTGCATTGATTATAGAGGTCTCAATGTCATCACAGTTAAAAACACAAGGCCTCTACCACGCATCGACGACCTACTGGATAGGGTGCAGGGG